TGAGTGGGTGAAATGCCTGAGTACGAGATGAACCGCAAAGTACTTGTGTACTCCAACAAACGCCTCCACACGTGCCAGACCCTGATCAGGCCCCACGCGAGGCCTGTCGGAACACTCACTCAGCGACCTGGGGATTCTCAGGCGCGCGACCCCTGACACGCCCCTTGCCCGTCATCCGTTGCCCCTGCCAAAAATTGAGGTTGTCTGTCAAGGCACGGGAGCAGTGTAAATTTGCCTGTCCTTTGGACCGACGGACAGCCGCGGCCGCGCGCCGTTTGGCAGGAAGGAATTGCCTGTCACCGCTGCACGCCGGCCTAGGCCTAGGGCTGGAACTGTGGCTCAAATTTTCTAATTTTATCGTCGGGGCAGCTTCGAACTTGCCGTACACAGGGGCTTGGATTGACTATGCATGCTAGTGAAGCTCACTGGAAGAGAAAGAAACTTCAGAAGCTGAAACTCGGGTTACATCGTTCCGTATCATAGGGTCTACTTTAATGTGCCGTCGGACCATCTGTAAACCCACATGCCTCCCCCAGGCTGCGACGGTCATACTCGGTGGGGTGCCTGTGGCTGCTGGCAGAGCTGCGGCATCAGCGACATACAGACCTTTGACTCCAAAAACCTCGCCGAACTCGTTCACAACGCCGTACTCCTGATTGTCAGCCACCCTTGCTCCACCGAGCGGATGTACAGTGAATGCCTGATTCGCGAATGGCAGGTGCCAGACACCTTTGCCAGAAATACGTGCGATGCGTTTGAATAGGGAACGAATCCTCGGAATGGCGTCTTCTTGCGTCGATTTGTACTGAACATCGAGATGCGAAGAGTGCGAAGACGGACGTAGCATACCCTGGCATCGGTCAGCATCCATCCCAAGGAGTAATGCGTTCCGGCGAAAGAAGTTTTTGAGGAATCTCGGCAGCGGTACTTGTGAAAATCCATTGAATCCAAGACGAAAGATATGGCCGCTTGATTGCTCCCCCCCGTCCTTAAGGGTGAACCGACCGTGGCTCGGAGGTCCCAGGCTCAGATCATTGCAGGTGTCATCGAGCTTCCAAAGAGCCACGACATCGCCGTTCGAGCTCCATCCGGTCCCCAAGGCGGGGATAGCAGGATTTCCTAGATCTTGGCGACTGCAGAACAAGAGTCTGACGGTGTTCATAGTTCCTGATGCCAGGACGACATTATCGGCAGTATAGACCTGGTCATACCCAAGTCCAGTGTGATGCCGAACATGTACAGAAAACTTGCCATCGATATGCTTTTTGACTCGGATACATTCGGTCAAGGCAGACACTGAAAGACCTTTCTCCATAGCTGGAACCAGCAGTGCTTGGTCCAACGTTTTTTTGCTGCCGTTGTTCGACCCGAGGAAACTGTTGTCCTTGCAATCTCGATCATGTTTTATCGAAACGGGCACTTGCTTTTCCAAACTCGCCACGAAGTCTTGAGATCGTTCGAAGACCTTCGGTAGCCAATTCGGCAGTTCGTCCTCGAATGTGGAAACCCTGGACCCCAGCTTGGCCATTATCCAGTCGTAGTGTTCGTCAAACTTGTCCGCAAAGGGCCTTGAAAGAGCTTTGTGCCAGTAGCCAGGATCGTCTGGCTTCGTGTTCATGGCAGAATAGACGATACTTCCTCCTCCGACACTGTTAGAAGCAACCACGATCTGATCAGAGCCTAGCGAGATGTCGAAGAGCCCGTACCGGTTTATTCGTATCGGCAAAAAGCGATTCGAGACGCGATGGATCAAATACGAGAAGAAGTGCCAGCCTTGAGGCAGAGGTGCGAGCGCGTGGGTTGGGATGGCCATGTTTTGCGATGTCTTCCGCCACGGCCCTCGTTCCAGTACCAAAACGTCTTCCATTCCGCCTTCTACGAGAGTCGATGCAACAGAAGCACCGCCAAAACCGCTGCCGACGATGATGGTCGAAAAGGAAGGAGTCGGATGACCTTGTGCTGCTTCGTCACGTTCTCGAAAGCGCCCTGGGTGAGGGTCCGTATCTTCGGTCGCCATGGCCAGTTCTCCATCGACACTCGGCGCCTCCAACACGAAATAAAGGAGAGTGATTGCAGACTTCTTGGTGACGTATGTCATTCTTGCTAGATAGATGCCTGGTTGCAGCAGCTTGATCTCTCCACGGATCGCACGCATGAAGGCCGGATTTCTTCTAGTGTTGTAGTTGAGCTGCAGTGGATCGTCGCTACCTGATTCCATTCTGTCGAACTCGTACCAGCCAAAGTGGCAGGAGATGGCGGAGAGGAATTTCCAGGCGTTTGCCCCTCCTCCATCTTCGAAATTTTTACCGAGCCAAGGGCTGACCATGTTAATGATGTTGTATAATAAGATTTTCGCAGTTGCTGGGACAGCGTTCAAGCCGTGGAAACCAAAGATCCGTCCTGGATGGAGCCCGCTGAGCTCATGGTGCAAGGGCGAAGGAAGCGTCTCGAAAGCAGCAGATAGTTCTGACTGAGACTTTGAAAGAAGACCGTACGATCGATCGGTGCCGATGGACCACCAGACCAGCTTGAAGGGCCATAGCGCAAGCACAACGCAGTTGAGCAGCAGTGCTGCGAGCTCTACGATCATGTCAGACGCGACCGAGACGGTTTCAGTCGGTGGCAAGCGCGCGGCGATCGAAGCTGCGCGGTGGTGTTATCGAAAAGTGAAGCTGTTCGGAAAAGGTAGAGGTTGGGTCGACACGGTATTTATAGGACGGCGGGGTGATCTGCTGCGTTGCTTTGTCCGTGGTGGCGAAGGCCTTGGGGTCACTGATCTCACGCATTCTGTCCCGCGTCGTTTGTGGTGGTAACGTCGTAGGCCAATGTAGCTGTTGACACTGCCGGACCACATGTGCGCATGACCAAAGTCCATGAAGGTGCGGCGACCGATGGCTTGTGAAATGCTAAAAAGACCCGGACCAGTGTCTATGGGCAGATGATGGATCTGCAGCTTTGCATTGAACAAGCGAGGTAGTCTGTCGATAGTGTGGCGCCGGAAGTCGTATCTCGCCTCGCCAAAGCGAAGGCTACTAGATACGCGGAAATAAAAAAGGACGAACTTCAAGCTCTAGCGGATAGTGACGGTCGGAAAGGTGTCGGTGTCTAGGAAAAGTTCGAAAGTTCCCACGTCAATGACTGTTGATGGTTCAAGTGTGGGAGAATAAGTGGTGGGCACCGCTCCGTTGCCCCCTCGTCGACGTATGAAATGTTGACAATCCGGATACGGTCATTACGATGCTTACCAATGACATAGGGACTGCCATACATGTCGGCACTACGTGAGGACAACATGGCGGGTGATAGAAATTCACCAGATTCACAATCTTTCGGCTCACACCCAAGCAGGATGACCATCTCAGGCGAGCATCGTTCATGAGGTTGCGGACCAGATTGCAGAAGTGTAGACAGAGCAAGCCGTCTAAGTTTTGTAGGTAACGCTGATCACCTCCTCTATCGGTATCATCGCGCCCTTGAAAACCTCGTACACTAACATTAGGAACAAGACTCTCGTGTACTGTCGCACTGGACACTACGTGATTGGCTTTATCTTTTCTATGTGTTCGTGCAAGCAACCTTCAGGCTTTCAGAAGCCTGTCCAGGTCATTCTCTCTCTTCGGTAGCGCTCAGTGCTATTTGTTCCTGTCCTGACATATGGCGACTACATAATTCTGATGTACTGAGCGTCGAGGTTGATATCGTCGTGAGTATGGCCCGAGATCAACCCTCGCGAAATCCAAGAGTTGACCGTTCCGCCCACGCCTCTACACCATTTGGCACTTGAACAACCAAGTTTCGGTTATCTTCACGTAAAATCCGAAGACGCGACCCTTCAGACTTGACGGGAGCACCAGTCCACACCGACCAAATACGGACCCGGCAAAATAATCGCAATTACAAGAGTCTGATGGTAGCTTGCACGTACAGATGAAATACGATGCCGAGGCCAACCACATAACTTCCGGTGCGACAGTATGCTAAATTCTCGTTCTCGATATGTATGTAGAGCCTGTTGGTGGGTGAGAATCGTATGTAGAGGAGTTGATTCAGTTTGCTTCCAGGGGGTCGAGATAGAATTTGGTCTTAGGCATTCGGAAGGTCTTCTAGCGTAGACTTTACTTACAAGTTGAACACGGCTCGACTGAGAATGTATGCCAGGGTGAGCTTGTTGAGTTCCCCGTGTGGCAGGCGGGCAAAGTTCCCTGCAAGCACAGCAGCAGCGAACAACCCGAGATTTTCGAAACCGTTGACCTGGCAACTTTCCGCCCTGATCATTTTTCTCTCGACGGAGGATTTGTTTGGCTTTGACATGATCTCCGCCATCAAAAGCCTTGGGTTAGCCATTCGGAATCTGGACCTGCCGAGAGAAATTGCGTAAACATGCGGGAGGTAGGTGAGCCCCCACATCGCCGGAATGCTGAGCAGCGAGTAATTGTGATCTTTGTGACCACCAAGCATTTCCTGTATCGCCCTGACGTGACACCAGGTGGAAGGCGAGTGGGTGAGTGTCAAATTTGTGGTATCAAAGAGAGATGCACGTCTTCATGTTCAATTGGACCCTGTTTATATGCGGACGAGGGGTAAAGCATTAAGCACTAACTCTCAACACAACAATTAGCTCGGAGAGTGGTGGGAACTGACGACGTTGTGAACTCTTGGCCAACGTGCACTATCTGCTTGTATTTAGATGTTCGTGGGGATTGGAGTTTCGGACATTTTTGCGTCACTAGTAGCTTTCGCTACGACGGTAATTACCATAACGTCCTTGCTTGGGAAGGCGAGGTAGAACAGACTGGCGATCAAAGTCCTCATGCAGTGTGGGGAGCTCTACTTCACTATCACCTCACTTCTCTCTTGATCACAGAGCGATCAGCGCGGACCGTCGAATGCCAGCTTTCACAGATTTTCGATCCCAGCAATCCTAACCCTGAAGTGCAGAAGGGGTGCAAGCACCGCGCTTCTGCGGTTACCGCCACGCAGGGCAGACCGCCAAGCGCGAAGCAGGTGACCACATGACCTGCAGTCAACTTCAATACCGAAGCCTCAGAGTCCGTCCGCTCAGCCCGCGATCATGTGAAACATGGAACGACGCGCAGGGTCGTTGAAGCCAAGCCGTCATATTATGCTCACCCTTCTTCACGCAGGGGAAGGCTCATAGTCTCGATGTACATACTATGCTCTGTTGCATCATCAGGAGATTTACAGGTCGAACTTGAGACTTTCGAAGGTCAGCAGCGAGACTTTTTCGCTTTCCCCTCGGTCGAGAAGCTTAGACACCATGCGGGTCACACCATCCCTGACCCAAGCGCGGTACTGGTTGACGTACCGGTAGCTGGTGCGATTCTGATCTCTGGCAGCGTGCTCACCCATAAGCGTGCGAATGCTTCGACTGCGTGCTCCTGCAACCGATTGTGTGCCTTGCAAAATGCTCGGTCAAGTCAGTGCCGCCATCTGTCCTTGGTGATCCCCATGCCAAGAAGCCTAGAATGGCGCTTCGAGCTGGAAGCCGGCGCTGGCTTCAATCGATGAGGAACCTCGTGCCCCAAAGCTCCAAGCTGAACGGGATGAACGCGAACTCGACACACGCCAAGCCCAGTAGGATGGCAGAGACCGGATACCATTGCAACAAAAGACCGTGAAAGCGGCAATTAGAACGAGAAACGAATGAGCGCCGGGTTAAGGAGGAAAGGAGAGAGGAGGGTGGCGACCGAGATGAAGAGGAGGGGCAGCATTGTAGGCCAGTCCGTGATCTGCCACGTGATGGGCACCGCCGAGGTAGCCAAGACGCTGACGCCGGCCACGATAGCGAGGCAGATGGTGCTCGACTGCCAGAAGTGGCGAAGCACGAGAGGAGCCTCCTTGGCAAAGTGGAAGTTGCTGTCGTCCTTGGCGGTGACGCCGAACGAGACCGGAAGAGAGACGAGGAAAGACACCATGGCCTTGGCGAGCGGAATCGAGAGCGAGACGATGGTGATCAGGTTGATCGGGTACCAGAGAAGGAACTGTGCGAGCGCGCGGAAGATGTTGGCATCGCCGCTGCGGTGACGCGCGATCGTGACGCCGAGCGCGCCTGTTGCGCCAAAGATCACCAGCGAAACAACCCAGTATTGGAACGAGGGAACGAAGAACGGCAGCATCCACGGTCCGAGCCAGCCCGAGACAAAGTAGAGTGCCAAGGCGCTGGGCAGCGAGACTCCGATAGCAACATAGCCGGCGGCGTAGGCGAGCAGGTGGAATTTGTAGTGAATGGGCACCTTGTTCGACCAGAAGACGGTGCGAATGAGCTTGGGCACGGGGCCCTGCACCGGCCATCGCCAGAGCGGGTTGAGGAAGAGCTCAAAGATACCGAACGTGTACTTGCGCCAACGGTTGACCTCGTCGACGTAGGTGAGCGAAACACCCTCCTGGAAACCGTAGTTGGAGTAGGTCACCCAGCGCGTCACCCAACCGCGAAGGAGCAGACGGAGACCGACGTCGAGATCTTCGGAGACGGTCTCTTCGGACCACGGCTTGATAAGGCCGTCGCTGTTCTTGGGTCCAAGCGATTCCTCTGCCAGCTCCATGATGGCGGACTTGCGGAGGAAGGCGTTGTGGCCGACAAAGGGGGCAACTTCGCCCGTGGCCGTCTGCCAAGAGATGAAAAAGTAGATGAACCTCATGAAGTAGGCGAGCGACTTTTCGAAGAAGCCCGAACCGACGATGAGGACGCCCGAGCAGTGCTGCAGGATGGCGACGTCTGGAGACGATGCCATCTCCCAGGCGCTGGGAAGGAGCGAGTCGGCAGGGATACGCGTATCCGAGTCGATCAGCAGGATGAGCTCGCCGATGCTGACATCGCCCTCGCCAGTAGCTTCCGGGTGTCGCTCCTTCAAGATGTGCTGGAGCAGAGATTCGCGGTCTTGGTTGGGGTTGGCGAGGATCGACTCTTCGTACTTCTTGGAGATCTGCATGCTGAAGTTGAGATTGGAGGCCTTCTTGAAGCGACCTGCGCGAGTGAACATGTCTCCGTGACGGGGACGGGCGATCCAAGCAATGTCATGGCGACGGTAAAAGTCGAGACGGGCTTCTCGCTCTTCTTCGTCGACAACCAACATGCCGTCCTCGGCGATGAGGATAGAAGCGGTACCGCCTTGCAGCTCGTACTCGGTGATGGCGGCCCGGATGGAGTCAAGTGTGGGCTGGAGAACCTGAACGAGCGACTCCTTGTAGACAGGAACCTGGATGGTCACGTGAGGAAGAATGGTCTTGCCGACGGGAGGTTCGGGGGAGACGCCTGAATAGTAGCGCGAGTTGCGCATCATGGGACGTATCGGGCCGATGGCCATGGAGACGCAGCTGGCCACACTATCGGCCATCGGAAGAAGCACAAAGAACATCGGAAGCACGGCAAGAAGAGCAACCAGGTAGATCGGCTC